GTCTGAACGTAAAAATACCCTAGCGTGAAGAGTTATCATTCTTTGCAACAATATGCATAAAAATGAACAAATAAATTAAAGATACAGAGCTCTATTTAATTTGTGGAAAGTTTTATTTTACAATTAAACACGTTGACTAATACTATTATTTTTTTTAAATTTGAAAACACCTTAATCAGTAATCTTTATCATTTTAATTTTTTTCCCTGAGGATTCCATTAAAAACTTAATTTTATTTCTTTTGCAAAACATTCCATATATATTCTTCTGAATGTGTTGTATAAGTGCAGTAGCTTGTACTGCGCCAGTGTAAGGAACGAACTGCACTTAAATCAGAAGAAGTTACGTTCATGGTGCTATGAACGCAACTTGTGAATGCAGGTTCATAGTGGGAGAAAACAGAGAGAATGCAAATATTATTAATTAAAAGTTCACTTTTTAAAAAAGTAATTACATTTGCGTTATTATTTGTTAATGAACAGTGTTCTCATTAGTATGAAAGCAATCGAATTCCTGATACTGGCTTAAGATGCTAAAGTTAACATTATCAATTAAGGTTAGAAAAATAATAATAGAATAACCAGATACAAGTACTATATAAGCACACATCAAAAACGTATTTTCTATAAAATTTATTGTTCATGGCAAAATTAAGCTAAATTGAATTTCTTGGAGAAAGAAAATTTCCGTACATTTTGCACGAAACTAGCGTAAAAAAATATCATGTTCAAATATCAATTCAATATTCTTTATTTAAACCATATTTAATAAATATTAAAAAAAAAAAAAACATGATAGGATTGACCAACAGGCACTGCCTTGATAATGCACATCATTATACAATATCAAGGTCTTACGAGATATTACATTTCATAACACTGTAAATGTTTTAAATATTTGAAAAAAATTGATGCATCCCTTTTCTAATCTGCATGAGTGTACTTATTGTTTAATCCATTGATGTTTCGGATAGTTAATCGAGTATCAAATAGAGCGAAAGTTTCTGATTGTGACATCATAATAAAATGATGTGAAACCCCAATGTCAAGCATAATTTCATACAAAACAGTAACGATTAACGGTCACAAACTTCCATTATACTGGCTCTGCTCAGGCGTCACCTGTAAGGTTCAGTTTGCCACCATTAAATCAGCATTAAGAGGGCGTATTCTTCAATGCTTTAATCATTCCAGTGAACGAAAGTGAGTTCAACCTAATTTACTTATACAGGATCCCTAACCTTCGTAAAAAAACCTTGCACACAAAGATACACTGACTGGTCCAGCAAATGCTCTAACAAGCCCCTATATTTACCCTTAACAAAACTATTAACTGTCGTACAAGAGAAACTTCATGCATATTGTACTACAGGATATTCGAGAAGTGGTTTAAATCAAATATAGATTCTCAACAGCTCCAAAGAACTTTAAGAATTTTTAGTCCATCAAATTTTTCAAAAGCCATAAACATCAAAACGTATGACTTTTCTGCACTTAGTACAACCATTCCTCGCGATTGCCACAGACAAAAGATTAGACTGCAAGAACAAAGTAATGACATGTTTTAATTGACACCATCGAAGAATTAGCTGGCTTCCTTTGTATTAGGATTATGAGATATTTCCTGAAATTAAAATGTATCTATTCTATTCTTATGATTGCTACCTCGAAATATATTCATAAAATTGAAAGCATTGCTTTTTGTTAACATAATAATACATATATCTTTCAATTCAATCTTATTCATTTAATTTTGATTTTTTCGAGTTTTTTTTCCCTTATATTTATGAATGAAATATATGGAGATAACGAACAGTAATCAAGCTCAAAAGTCCATTAAACAATACAAAATAGGAGCAGAGCAAACAAGGACCTCTAAACATCAGAGGTGGGATCAGGTGCCATGGAGGAGTGAGCATCCCCTGCCGACCGCCGAATGAATGTTAACTTTATTGCAAAACAAAATAAAGACAAGATTAAAAACTCATATTTGTTAAGGTGATATGACTTTTAAAAAATCTCAATTCAATATGATCACGGATAAAGTTATTGATCTTTAAATTTTCTTATACCTCATACTACTGGACAGTCTTGTTTGAGGTAATTATACTTATTCAAACCCTGTCCTATTGGCAATTAGAAACGTGATCTCATCTTCACCAAGATAATTATTATCGCTTAATAACAAAGTATTTGCATGCTAATAATCTTTTCGATGTAAATATGAGATTTACTGTATAAAAGGCTCAAGGTTAATTCTAAGAATTCAGATTCAGAAGCCCTACCATGCCCGCTCTTACATACGCGTTCAGGATTGAGGTGCTATTTGTACACTTTAGTACATTAGTACTCTTGAAGTGGTTTTAATGAGCTTTGCCTTAGAGAACTGATCGATTTAAATGTTGTTAGCAAGAAAAATGCTTATTGTGAGAAATGGTAACATGTACTTATACATGTTTCTGTACATATTTCCGGGAGTGAATGCGATTACTCAGTTATATACCATAGAATTAGGATTTGATGACAAAAAATCAGACACAGAATTGATACATGAACATTATACTGGATCGCTCTCTGGCTGTGCTTTCCTGTGTAAACACCGGTGTAACTGCTTTGGGTTTAACTCGTTTGATAAGAAATGCCGTCTCCACACGTCCTGTGTTCTGGAGGACCTGACTGTAGCAGAACAGGGATGGAAGTATTAATGCCCAGGTCGTACGTATCTATTACTAACTCTTTATGTATTACATTTGAATTTCAATATTTCGAATTTTATGGATATGTCAAAATGATATAGAAGTGCCAACCCTTACTCTTGAAGTATTTTTCCTGGATATCTCGGATATCTCGAAGTTTTTCTAGATCCCATTCAGTTTCAGATTACGAGGGTTTACTGTATTTAATAATTGAATCTATTAAGTTGTTTGAATATTTTAATTATTACGTTTGGACACAATTGTATAACTTGGAGACACTTACAATGTCCTTTTGAGGCATAGTTTCTTCTAACCTCTCGACTTTGTGATTTTATAACGAGTTGGTAATTTACGATTCAAACACAAAATCAATTCATAATTATCATCTTTACAAATTTGACTATTCTGTACGAATGAGGTTCTGCGATAACCCTTTTTTTTTGGAGTCGGTATTTCAAGTAAAATTTTTGAGATGGCATTCTAGGTAGAAGGTTTTTAGTACAATATTATAAGCTATGTATAAATGATGCTTCTATGGAATCATTAATGATAAAATGTCGCACTAGTGAATGGAGGTTTGTTCTCTTACGATTGAATTGTACACGTAATGATTCGCCATCGTATCCACCTAAAACGTTTTATTATTGGTGGTTACGATGACGCAATTTTATAATTACAGTACAAAAATCTATTCACTAGTTTAACATTTTATCATTAATGGATTTTTAATCATTAATGGTTGCTACAATGCACTCTAGAATAATCCCCCTCCCCCGGATATTGCATCTTATTCATATTTGCTAATATATATAAGACATATATGTCAGGTCAAACATTATAGAACAGGTAAATATAAACTTTACCATAAGAAACTTGCATGGAATATGCTTATAGAATTTTCGATACAAGACGTTTTATAGATACTGCAATTAGCTAACCTTTTCAGAAGAGTGACAAGTTTACATAATCATTAAAAATACATATCGACCGCCTCGCTGAAGATACATTTAAGGTTCATTTTATATGTTCAATGAAAGGTTTTTAAAGATGAACATGCATGCTGCCAAATCAATCAAACTTTGAACTGATGTGTATTTTCATTGCATGAGATTCTTTTTAAAATAATAACAAACAAAACGAAAGGTAATGAAAGTTTACAAAGCTCTCTCTCTCTCTCTCTTACAGCTTTGTAATCTTTAATTACCTTTGGTTGCTTTTGAAAGTATTTTAAAAATAATTCCAGGGAAAAAAGGATATAAATTATGAAATGCTGATCATTCAGTATGAACTAGAAACCCTGATTTTTAAAATGCATCTTACATGTCCTCTTTCTTCCATTTTGACACTGCTGTATATTTTGCATAACAATTTACTTTCATTTACTCTTTAATTCATTATATTGTTTTCTTTATAGAGGTATACCTTGATTTACTATAAACTTAAATCGTGGCACCTTCTGAAGTTTAATATATTGTCTAACGATGACAAAGTGAAGAAACTGTTATGCAGAATAAATAAAAAGGGTATTAGAGAGTTTTAGCAAGCTCACTTGTACATGTACATGTCAACTATAAGTTAGGATTACACGTACACGTTTACATTATTTTTCTTGTGTAGCAATGTATAACGTGTACGTGTACTTGTAAATGTGTTAAATGTGAAAGTACTTAACATTAAAAAATTAGAACACACATTAAATTTAATACGTATATTACTGTTCTAAATAAATATATGTGTTTATTTATTAAAACATATTTAAAAGAGCTCTTATAATTATAATAAACTAAAGCCTGTTCTGAAATTCTAGATGTGTATTTAACATTCTATAAACTTTTTTTCAGGTATATACGCTTAGTTCTTCATATCAGTATTTGCATTATATCTTCAGGTTTTAGAAAAACGCACACTTTTTAAAAAAATAAACAGCAGGTAAAGAAATATAATCTACAAGTTTGGACTTACGTACTCGGCAATCTACGGGTAGAAATTCGTCAATAGCAAAACTGATGACGTAATGCACAAATCCCCGGGGGAATCCCCTGCTACATTGCACTTACGCATACACGTCGGTTTGCTAAATCTCTCTAATTCTGTATCTTCAGATTCGGCTCTACCAAAGGATTGTCAGGAATATTATAACAATGGACAGACTCAGTCGGGGATTTATGGCATATCTCCTTACAGAAAGCGATGTCTTGTTGTCTATGTATTTTGTGATATGGTGACGAATGGCGGAGGGTGGACGGTAAGTAATAAGGACAGCCACTGTGTATAATTGTCTATGTATTTTGTCATCTGGTGACAAATGGCGGAGGGTGGAAGGTAAGTAAATGGAATAGTCACTATGTGGTGCTGTCTATACGTACATCAAATAGAGGATGGAGGTTAGTAAATGGAATAGCCCCTGTGTAGTGCTGTCTTAACGTACATCAGAGGGTGGACGGTAAATAATGGAATGGTTACTTTCCCAATCGTGGCATTGCTTTTGGTGGGGCGAGATTTTTTATATTTATATGAACAAAGATATTTTTTCTCTTATGCCGATGTATTGCACAAACGAAATTTTGAAAAAGAAATACTTTCCATGATTATAACATAGTTTTAAAAAAGCAAGTATGCTATACAGCTGGACACTACCTATTCATATCTTTATCAAACAATTGTTTTCATTTAGAATTTCGTATTTCTAAAATAATATCAGTGTTCATCATGTACTTGCTTTAATTTCATATTTAACTCTCTTAAGGCAATTCAAAGACGACGGAGTGGATCTGTAAGTTTTGACAAGACTTGTGTGGATTATAGGAAAGGCTTTGGGGAGGCAGAAACGGCCTATTGGATCGGTTTGTACTTTTTAAATTGCTTCACAATATTCTACTGTCTTTCGACTACCCTTCTTAGATATTTTATTACCATTTTATTACCATTTCAATTATTGCATGTTAACCCCCAAACAACTTTTCTTTTAAATAAAGAGGATTTTTTTTTAAAGAAAAAAAGATAAATTATGTAGATTCTCATGAAATCCTAAATTTACTCGTCGATGAATCTTAAAGATTGCAGAACCTGACATGTTCTTCTATCCCATTACATCAACGACGTTCGTGTGCTTTTTGTTTCGTGCAAAACATGTAGCATTTAGTATAATCCGTAAAGGATTTCAAGCAAACTGAGTGGAGTTTCGTGCAAATTAAGCATAGTTATAAAATCTTGAAAACAAACGATGTAGTGATATCATGAATGACACTTTTTTGACAGTGCATCATTTAGACTACAATGATATATATGATAGAATGTGAATAGTTCTTGAAGAAGTTCATTCATCAGCTTTTGAGCAGATTTTTGTCTGGACCTGTAGTCTGCAATTTCTGCATCAAATTTTTGACCTTGCAACGTAAAACTTATACGGTACCAAATGCACCAAATGCGATGTTCGATAAATTATGTTTCTTCAGTGATGCTCAAGCTGAAACGTTCGAAATCCAAAATATTATATATATATATAATATATAATATATATTATATTATATATAATATATATTATATAATATATATAATAAAAAAAAATCTAGAAGAGCTGAAAAAAGGGTACCAAAGACTGGAGCCAAATAGTCTGATGAAACAGAAAAATTGATCCTTTTTCTTCTGGAAAACCTTCCACCACAAAATATATTTCCTCGTTTAATTTTTCTATGGAATTCAATTATGCGATTTTAATTGAAATAGTTAAATTCCATAGAAAAAAATAAACGAGGAAATATATTTTGTGGTGGAAGGTTTTCTAGAAGAAAAGGATCAATTTGTCTGTTTCAGAATATTTTCAATACTGTTATGTTCAGCATCCTAGACTTCCATAATATTACACTAACGGTTATGTTTTATAGTGAGATATAGATTGTTGTTCGGAATACATTTGAAAAAATTAAAAATTTTCATCACTGACCCCTTCTTTTAATTTTTCCTTTCTGAAACAAAGCAGTGTTCAATCTTCTGCAAATTCAGTAAACTCTTAAGATTTTAAAATACTTTTACTGTTGTTTAAATTTTTAATACCAGAAATAAGAAAGAAACATAGAGAAATTAAAAAAAGAAACATTTTCATTCCTCTGAACAGACGGTTAGTCTCCTTATTTTACGTACTAAATCATTGGTCCTTTTTAATATATGAATGCAAATAGTAAGATTCTAATCAATATGAAAGAACAATAAAAATCATCATTATTTGTTTATTTATTTGGATGTATTTTTGTTTTATTTTAGGGAATGACATCATACACCTGTTCACTAAGAACATTAACACTTACCTGTATGTGTCTATCACACTTAACAACGGTACAAAGTATTATGAGATATACGACCGGTTTTCTGTGTCTGATGAAACAGACAAGTACCGACTATTTCTTGCAGGACCTGTCCAGGGAACATTAGGTAGATATTTGGTTTTTAACTTTAAAATATATTAACCATTAATTGTTTAAGTTATTTATGAATTGATTGATTTCCTGATTAATTTATTATAATTGTATTTTAGTTAATGCATACGTTAGTTGTCTGTGCTTAAGTATTTATGAATTGATTAACTTATTGGTTAATTTATTTATTTGTTTTGCAATTAAGCTTTTTATTTTTAAATAAATTAATGTTGATGATAAAGGATTTTCAACATTTAAACATTTTGCAAATTCTATGGTCGATATAAAAACCTAGTCAGCAAATATTGACTGATGTTTTTCATACAAATTGTTAGGCCACTATTTTCACACTTAACTGTCCACAGACTTTTTTTGCCCGATCATGACAAGAAGCACGTGCGATCTGTGACCGGTCAATAGAGGATGTTACTCTCCCATGGCACCTGATCCCAAACTTGATGATTTTAGAGGTCCATGCTTGATCTGCTCCCAATTTGTATTGTTCTAATAGACCTTTGAGCTTGATTATTGTTTGTTCTCTTCATATTCCATTACATGTAATTCATTCATTTATTTATTCCATAATGAACAATGAAAATTTCGTCACTTAATCTTCCAATGCCTTAGAGATGAAACTTAATACATCTTTTTTATTTTAAGAAATACCTCCTTGTAATGAAAGTGAAGGGCCTAGATCAGAAAAAAAAAATATTAATTTTTGATTTTATACTGTTCTCTTCGAAACAGGAAAATGTGTATTACTTAATATTTGGATGATTTGCTTCATAGTGTGGCAAGTGAATGCATATATTATTAATGAAATATGAACAGTATTCAGGTTCAAAGTCCAATAAAACAATACAAATTGGGAGCAGAGCAAACACGGACCTCACAAAACATCAAAGGTGGGTAGCAGGTGCCATGGGGGAGTGGGCATCCTCTGCAGACCATTAACTGAATTTGAAGGTTAAGGTATGTTGTAGGAGACTGTGTGATACAGATTTTTGTAGTATGAGCAGTAGTCAATACCACATTGACTTTGCAGGTGACCGGATGTTGAACACAGGAGTAGGTGATGCTGATATTTCCGGTATGTTCTTCAGTACTCCAGATCATGACAATGACGACACAGGATCCTACGACTGTGGCGCCACCTACCGAGCAGGGTGGTGGTTTAATTATTGCCACCACGCCTTGCTTAATGGACGTTGGTATCCACAGTACTGGTATCAGCCATGGTTTCCGATCATTCCTGATGGAACGAATGTGAATGAGACATTAATGATGATAAAACCCCACTAACACTGTACCTGAATCTCCATACTGAAACACAATCTTGTTGAAACCACACAAACGCGTTGTTTAGATCTCTTATGAATTGGAATCAGGTGACTGCTGGTATTTACTCCAAACATTTCTGATGAAACAAACGTGGATCAGACAATTATGAATATAGAACCACACTTATCAACATTTGATTTTCTATACTGAATCCCGGGACAAATTCAGATGGATTTGATCTGAATTCTTTTGTTTCATTTCATCTGCATTTCGTCAATTATTATTCAGTAAATTTGGTGAATTTTGAAAAAAAAAATGCTTTTAACTAATATACTTCTGGTTCAATTAATTAAAGGGGTATTTTTTGAAAGTGATAGTTTTTACTGTGAAATATTAAAATGCGGCAAAACTCTTAATTTTCATTCCATTCACGAATGTGTTATAAGTAAAATGCTCAAATCTTAAATTTTCTGCCGTATTTTCATTAAAATACATTCTCATAATTTTAACCTTACAATCGCTTAGCTATTGTATCTCATAACCGCTAAAATATGACGTCAAAGCACACGACACTACGTTACAAAAAGACTCATGAGACAATTTTTTGAAATTTTTTTTTACTCGTGATTCGCACTGGTAGGAATATATTGAAACAATTGCTACTCACTCTTTAAAAAATACATATTCAACGACAGATCATTAATTCAGTCGGTATAGCGCTAGGTCCGTGATCGGATTGTCGTGGATTCAAACCCCGACCACGACTGACCTAAGCCGATAAAAAATAGGTTGCAACTGTTCCTTCGCGGGCCGCTCGGCACTTTGAAGTTAAGTTGCGAGTCTTTCGAATGAGACCTTAGAAACCGAGGACCCGTGTCAGAACAGACATTGGCACGATAAAGATCCCTCACTGCTCAATGGCTATGACTACCGATTTAGTCTAAATTTGAAGTCCTTAACCGGTATATAGTGCCGTCTCTATATGAGTGAAAAATTTCGAATTAGACCTAAAACTCCTAAATTTCAACACAAAAGTTTTTGTACAAGTGATGGAAGAAAATGAAATATGGAGATATCACGATAGAACACAATTCTTTGGTCACTTATATTTACTGAGGATATCCAACGGGTCAACAGAGGTCCGCATGAGATCTGTAGAACTTCGAAGAACTGACAATCGGCCAGAAGTCCTATACAGTATACTTTTGTTTGTTTGTGGGTAGAAAATAGTTCCACGGACTCCGGAGTACTCTGTTTACCTGACTAATACATAAGCACATATAGTCTGCTTGCTTAATTCATCTACAGACACTCATTCGAAAAGAAAAAAAAGATTGCAATTCACAGTAATAATTGCGAAATACAGATTTGGAGAAATGGAAATAATCAACATTCTATAAGTGCTTTTTGCGACTACTACAATTTGAGGAATTTAATACGTAATAGATGCATTAAACTCGTTTTTTAATGCAGCATGTGTTGATATATTTTAAGATCTTATGACTTACGTTGACAATTTTCATTGTACCACTGTTTGAAGAAATTTGACTACCATTGTAGTTAAGATTGATGATCTTAACTACGCTGACCTCTATTTAGTATATCACACCCACGCTAATAAATGATTTTCATATGATGACTGAATTTGATGATATTATCTTTTAAATCATAGCAAACATTTAGAATCTTTTGTAAGTTTAATGTTTATCTAGAATTCTGTACTACTCCTTTATATATAGCCATGATCGAAACACTACATTTTTGTTGCTTTATCATTTGTATTAAAGAAAAGAGAATACTGTGTCATATTAGATATGTTTGTTGAGGAGAGATAACCCCTCCAAATGCGTTACCAAAACTTAACTGCCCTCTAAGATGGTATTCAAACTCTGTTTTGTTTACCTTCAAAGATTCGGGCAAAAGAGTAATAAATTCGATTAAAAATGACTCATTAACTAAAATTATTATCGTATCATCCAAACAGATATTAATGAATGTATTTAATATCTTAAATAAAGCTACATACAAGTATTATTTATCATATGAAAATAACCAACATTTGTAGTTTAAGGTATGCTGCAACGAGATGAGAGGGTTTTTAGTTTTAATTTATAACTCTAAATACCAGCTTTTCATCAAATTGAGGCAAGGAATTTTGTACATGAAGATTCTTTGTAGAGGAAACACACATTACTTTTATAGGCTCGCAGACTGATCCAATATAACTCCTTAAAGATTGATTGATCGTGTGTAGTTTTAGGTCTAATTCGAAAATGTTTCACTCATATAGAGACGGCACTATATACCGGTTAAGGACTTCAAATTTAGACTAAATCGGCAATCATAGCCATTGAGCAGTGAGGGATCTTTATCGTGCCAATGTCTGTCCTGACACGGGTCCTCGGTTTCTAAGGTCTCATTCGAAAGACCCACAACTTAACTTCAAAGTGCCGAGCGGCCCGCGAAGGAACAGTTGCAACCTATTTTTTATCGGCTTAGGTCAGTCATGGTCGGGGTTTGAATCCACGACCATCCGATTACGGACCTAGCGTATACCGACTGAATTAATGATCTGTCGTTGAATATGTATTTTTTAAAGAGTGAGTAGCAATTGTTTCAATATATTCCTACCAGTGCGAATCACGAGTAAAAATTTCAAAAAAAAATTGTCTCATGAGTCTTTTTGTAACGTAGTGTCGTGTGCTTTGACGTCATATTTTAGCGGTTATGAGATACAATAGCTAAGCGATTGTAAGATTAAAATTGTGAGAATGTATTTTAATGAAAATATGGCAGAAAGTTTATGATTTGAGCATTTTACTTATAACACATTCGTGAATGGAATGAAAATTAAGAGTTTTGCCGCATTTTAATATTTCACAGTAAAAACTATCACTTTCAAAAAATACCCCTTTAATTAATTGAACTAGAAGTGTATTAGTTAAGAGCATTTTTTTCATCATAATTCACCAAATATACTGAATAATATTTGACGAAATGCAGATGGAATGAAACAAAAGAATTAATTAAGAACATTATGGAAATATTTCAATGATTTTGTAAATATATTTTGCGCAAAATTTGTGTGCATTTCTTGAAATACTGTGGTCTGTTCGTTTTCCGTTACTAAAATGTTATTTAAATACATGTATGTATATTTAATACATGTATGTACCGTCACTAATAATCTTCTCTAAAGTCAGAATGAGGGATTTGCTTGATTTAAAATTAATACGAGCTCTGTTCATTAACAGTTAAATTAACAGATATATAATTACTTTTGTGTATGTCGATGTCATAAAATAATAATACTTATTTGTAAGGGGATTTTAGTTAATTAAGACACGAGATTCCAATTACATTTTCTGTCACAAGGGAAATCAAATTTTAAGACCCCTCAAAACATTGTTTAGAATATCGATAAGAAAGATCACTGAGAAATGTATGATTTTAAATGTTGTAAGATATTCATTCAGTCCAAGTCTCGTCCATAAATGCCAAAGGTAAAGGATATTTAAGAATTAGTTTGCTTTGGCCATGTTTTGACGTAAACCTCCAAAGAAATACTGGTCAGACGCATGCAGTCAAAAAGATCATATTCTTCAATCGGGATCGTTATATTGATTATATATTTATTGTGAAAAGGTTACTTTAAATAGTGATGAAATCCCTGTCTCAAATCAAAACACCATAAAATTCAGTAGAGGTAAATTTACTGCTTAGACTCTTTACGCTACTTTCTATATGCATAAACATATGTACGTATATGAAGACTTTTTGTGTGTCTCATATATATTAAATAATATGTATATCTTTCAGGAATTACACCCATAATATTGAATTGTTGAATAAAGAATCCTTTAAATATGTATTACACTTAAAATTAAGACCAATACCCATCTTTCCGCTACAGGAGTTAGTTTTTTCCTTTGAAATATTATAGATAATTTAAATTAGTCCTTTGCATATGTTTTTTTTTTTCCAGACACTATTTTAAAAAGAAAATTGACATCATACTTCTAATTTTTCGGAGATGATACACGTTTGGAAATTTCTGAATTTGAAATTAAATTAAGAATTTTGTCTGAACGTACCGAGAGTCAAAAAGTATAGAGTAGATCTTTATCATTGTTCTCAACACAGCTCTCAGATTTCTGATAACTAAGCGATATATTTTCTTAATTAAAATTCTATGGTCGGTATAATGACTTATTAGCAAATATAACCCATCATTGGGTCGTATTTTGGCTGACGTTTTTTAGAGCAAATGTTATGTCTTTCTTTTTTAAAATAAATCTGACTACGGAGTATTCTGTATACCTGATCAATACACAGGGCTCACGGCGAGTGTGACCGGTCAACAGGGGATGCTTACTCCTCTTAGGCACCTGATCTCTGGAATTATGTGGGTCCGTGTTTTATGCCCTGTTCACAGATTTGTATTGCTTATAGATTTTTTAAGATCAAGTACTGTTCATTATCCTCACATTTTTCATTAGAGGGAATGGTCCCTAGGGACTGGATTCGTAGCCTAAAATGAGAATGGGGATAATTAACAAATCCTCTAAATAGACAGCAAAAATACATGTATTATACTAATTAACTTTTCAAATTACGTTAGTCACGACTGAATGGACGGCCAAGTTAATAGTGTGTTTTATTAATAGATAACATAAAGCCAAATTCTTGTTTTGAAAAATAAAAGTTTTCTGAAGGTTAGGTATTTGAATATTTAATATCAAAATTAAAATTACAGAGGTTTCTCAATCCAGCAAACCGGTGTCAGACTTTTAAACGACATTTTGAAAGTGTCTTATGAACAGCAGTTTTCCAAAATTTAAATAAAGAAACTCAGATAATTAAGCAAATGATATAATTTATTAATCATTAAATCTCCAAAAGAATATTTTACTGTTTACATTGTTCAAACGAACATCGAAGAGTAGACAAAATACTGATCTCTTTCCCAGTCTCCTAAAGGAGAACCCATGTTGTAAATTTTGGAGTGATGTGTGCGTTCC